TCCCAAATATTTCCTCTTCCTTTTCCCCCCCCCCCCAAGACCCCCCCCCCCCCCCCCCAAAAAAAAAAAAAGATAGGAGGGGAAGAGAAGAGCCAGAAAGTAGGAATTAAAGGAGGGGTTGGGGGTGAGAGGACAGGGAATGAAGCGTAAAAGCCATGCAGCAGCGGTCGTCATGTTGGGAAAAGAAAGTATGCAGCTGGCGGTCAGCTAAGTTAGGCCGACCTTCAAGTGGAAAGGTGTGCTCCCGCTCTGATTTAACAGTATGTAGGGCACGGCTTTCTGATCAAAACCCCTCTCTTAAGAGGTACATTTATCTCCCCCAAACTCTTTACATATTCCCTCTTGAGAGCGTTATTAATAATCATACAATCTCAATGTTCTCAGGGGACTTACTGCAGTTACTTGAAATGCAAATGGGCGAGCGAACTGATTATTCACTCTTGTGAAATTAATTTGTATTTGTTACAGAATCAGCTCGCAGGGGGGAAATCGGTGCGGCTCTGCTCTCTGCTGGTGACACGGGCTTTTAGTGGAATCTCACTGCTGATCTGAGAGTTTTTTTGTTTTTTCTTTTGAATTTGTCAAGTTTGTGCACAAAATCCAACGAGGGCAACTCTTGAGACTCCCAGTTAGATTTGAGCTTTCAGAAGTGGATATCCCACTCTGTATTTTATTTATTTATTTTATTTTGGTGACTCAGAATAAGCAGCTTCACATTTCACTTTGATGCTGGTTTGATATTTGCACTCCAAAGACTGCAGGGGCCTTTTCTCTTTCTGGAACACGTTGGAATAAAGTTGTCGCTGCCTGGAGAGAAAAAGCAAAGCGAGTGAGGTTTTAATCTGAGTCATTGCTGATGCTTTGCTTCTGATTTCTTTGATCTGTCGCTTACAAAAAGTCGGGGCCCTCTGATAGAGCGGCAAAATCCGGAGCTAATCCCACTGTTCTGTTGAATCCTTGAACGCCTTTCTGTGCTGTGGTTTATTTAGACTTAAAATGACTGCAAGTCTGCTGCTGTGTACAGTTTTGAAAATATATCTAATTTATAGATTGTTTTATTTTTATTTCCCCATCCTTTTCCCATTCTGTATTACTTGCGGTGAACTAATTTACGCTGTCGAGGATTGTTACAAATTCAAATATGCACAGACCCGTTTATAGTATAGAGACATAAATTTTAAAATAGCCTTTTTTTAAAAAAAAAAAACTGCTAAAATTTAAGAGCCTGTAATGTATTAAGTTATACTGGAGTGTTTAATTACAGCCATATTGCTTTTAAATATCATAATTAAGATTTATGCAGCCATTAGAAATAAAATATTTTGTCACATGTGGAATAATTCAGTTACAGTATTATATCTAATAAGTGATTCATAGAAAGGTAAAAAAAAATGCATATAGAATAAGGATAGAATACTGTAGAGTTTGGCAAATTTACAACATAAGAGAAATGATACCATGCAGTTATTAAACAGCATGGTATCATTTTTTAACTTGGCACACATCAGTGTTTCAGAACATTATTAATAGAGAGAGCCCCCTTTTATGGTCCTGTGTGAACATACTAACTGGTTGGGCCATTCTTGGCTGCATCAACTGTAATCAAGCGTTTGCAGTAACCAGTTCTTTAGTGTCATGGATGAGTCTTGGTCCAGTCATCTTTGCAGGCTTGTTGTAATTCAGCCGCACTGGATAGTTTTTGAACATGAACAACTTGTTTAAGGTCGTGCCTCAGCATCTTAATAGCATTCAGCTCAGGCCTTTGACTAAAACACTCCAAAATCTTTTTATTTTTCTTCAGCCATCCAGAGGTGGACTTGCTGGTTTGTTTTGGATCATTGCCCTTCTGCAGAACCCAAGTTTGTTTCAGCTTAAGGACAAGACCAAATGGCCAGACATTCTCCTTCAGGATTTTTTGGTCAACAGCAGATTTCATGGTTGAAAAATTGAGATGAGCCATGGTGATCTTTTCCTTAGCAGTGGTTTTCGTCTTGAAATGGCCATGAATTACGTCTGTTTTTGCTCGGTCTTTTTCTGGATTCCTTTCGCCCTAACTGAGGCAAATGAGGTTTGAAAAGAACAAATGAGAAGAACATGCAAAACTAGTGGCGGGTATTTAGGAAATGTTGAAATAAAATGTAGATGTATATTTTCTTTCTGCACTTCCTTCATGCTTATCTTGCTTATTGTTGTAGTCTGGTAAAGATGTCGCCTGAGCTGGGTGGTTCAGAACAGCAGCTGCACTGAAAATAAAACCTGGGTGGTATTGTTGGTTTGTATCACAATGGAGGAAAGAGGAGTTCAGACTGTATGCTGCAGAGATTACAGATACACATGTACAGATTCAGCTCAAATGCTCAGATGGAAAGTGTATTTCTTGTTCTGACCAATTTCTATAATTACAATTGCAGAGAATCGGTTCTTGGCTGAAAAAGCTAAACTCTGTTTCCTGATGTTCAAAGAAAATTCTTCCTGAATGCAAAACGGCACCAGCTGTTGGAGGAAAAGCTTTCCTTTAAAAAATGCAGCCCCACATTTTTAGCTGTTGCTGGGAGCAACAGACGCAGCAGGAAGGGATTGACTGATGCACGGTTGGAAATGAGGAGAAAATGTATAGAACCCCTCCAGCTTACAGATAAAACTTACTGCATTAATACGGTTACTTTAAAAATGGTATATAATCTCCCTACTATGAGTTGAATATTTTACTGATGCTGTATAACTTCTCAATTGACATGAGTATACATGAGCAGCCACGCAAACTTTCTCTGTGGACAGTAACAAACTACAAAGAGTCAAAACTCACCTAATTGCACAGAAGCTCGACTCCGTTCAGTGTCATTTAGAAGCATCAAACCCGATGTTTTTTCGTGATTTTAATATTGTTTAAACGTAAACGATGAAACTGCACAACATATATCCTTAGACAACAACATAATGCGCCTACAAAATAAAGAAAAAAAGTAAAAGGATGTGAAAACCTCACTCGAATGTAAATAGTACATTTCCTACGTTTTTGTCTAATAAAGATGTAGCTGTTCTGTGCGCTGAAGTGCAAGTTTTCAAACCATCTGAGTAGCTCAACAAACCTGAGGGAACCAGGGGCCCTCAAGAACCAAATGATGCCAGACAACACATGGCATCACACCATCAGCGTTTATGGGTCTACCTTAGTGATTTTATTTATCCAATTGGTTTAAACTATACTGGGACGTATGTGAAGAAAAAGAGGCAAACTCCTGGAGTACAGCCAAGTCACCAGGGCACGGCCTCCTGTTAAACGTGTTGGGACTTTCTGTTTGCCTTCGTCCCCAGAGAGACGCTGACCTACACACACGCCAGTATCATTTCTGGCTTGGAGCCCACAGAGCTGTCAGCCCCACATACCCAGGGCCAAGAGGAGACAAGGGACATGAACAGTACGGAGAACATCAGGGATAACGAGCAGAGACGGAAGTAGACTGCAGTCTCTGTGAGTCTGCTTCTATTAGTGATGCTGGAAGGAGATGTAGAGGCACTGAACTGAATCTTTCTCCGACTCTTACATTGTAAAGTTAAGGGACTTCAGAGTTTTTCCTCTGAATAGACGACCGTACAAGTTCTTCCTTATGTCTGGGATAATTCAGAGGGTTCTGGATACATGGCGACATTATATCAGCTGGTCCATGGTGCTCTGGTTTTAAATGCACGCCACACTTTAGTTTGTGCTGGCAGGTGAGACTTTCTGTCACAGAAAAGTGTCAAAGTGAGCCTCTGGCTATTAGAGGACATGGGTTATTCCTGAATTTCTGGTTTTAGTTTTTACTATCAGGAAATTTAAGCTTGAAAATATAAAAAAAGAACTTGCACAGAGAAGAGAGATGCACCAGAAGCTTAAGTTACAACACCAAGTTGTTTAGTCTATGCAAGTTGGTGGATTTCCTCTGAACAGATCTGGTGAATGCATGGATGAGTGGATTTACCATGGGATTTTTCTCCTCACCATTTCCTTTAGAAAACTGTGAAACTAATATTGCCATTTATAAGTTTGTAACCATGTTTTGTTGAGGAGTTAATATATGTATGACTTGTTTTATACATAGCATTTGAAAACCAGTTTTTTTATTTCCCAAAATGAGTCGTTTCTTTCTGCTCCTCTCTTAATATGATTTTATCATGGATGTTTAAACTCTGAGATGCTGATGTTCTAGTCATACTTGTATTTGCAAGACTTGGAGTTTTCTTTAGTTTTAACTTAAAAAACTTTTGCATTGCTTGAGTGGATTTTTCTTAAGAAATTAGAGTTTTGAGTGGCGTGAAAGTAACGTAAGAAGATAAAGGAGAATGTTTAGTCATTCATAATTTAGATTCCGGTATTTTGAATTGGTTTCACACATATCTTTACATTAGTTCTTATTCTGTTGATGGTGTGTGTTCTTCCTGGAGATTTCAAAGCCGAACCACTGAACTGGCTTCCTCCCAGAGCCCAGTGTGAGACACTGATTAGTGGCCTCTAACAGATCTTAAGCCCTCACACATCCTGTCCCTCCGTTCACTCAGTGATATCAATTATTCACCTTCACAATGTGTCCTGGACTCAGACGAGCCAGAAATATAATTTTCTAATTACCAGTTCTTCCTTTGAGTAGAAATGGGCATCTGGCATCAAACGAGGTTCGTTCTTATTGGCTGAAAAATGGGGCGGACTCCTGCATGGACTGTACATTGGTAGTGTAACCTGGAAGGGATCGTTTGATCCATCTGCTCTTCAGTTGCCAAATTCAGACCTCTGTCTGCAAATGAAAATGGCTGTCTGAGATGCAGCTGCATGATTATCTGATATCCTAATCATGCAGCCTCTCATCTTAAAGTCACCATGGATGGACCACATCCTCAGAGTTGGAAAATTGATGCATATTGTCCCAGAGCACTTGGCGCTAGGATGACCTGAATGAATGAAAGTTTTATCTTAAAATGGCAGCAGACAGACTTAAATTCAGGCAGTGTAGCTGAATGAGTGTGAGCAGATCAGGAATGGAGGTAAAGATGATGAAACCTCAGCTGTCCTTGGTTCTCGTAATTGTCTCTCTTTCCTGTCACCAGATTGTCCTGAATTATAATTCCATTTGAAGACAGGTCATCAAATTTAGGATCAGCTATGAATAATAGGAATTCAGCAGAGAGGTTTCCTTTGGGTTAAAAAAAAAGAGCACTGAACTCGCTTGGAGTTCAGGAAAAACGTACAGTCGCACACGTGAGGCCAATGTTAATGCTGTTTGAACTGTCAATGTTTACTGACTGCCTGCCACTTCAAGGCATTATGTGGGTTTATTAGTTCTATGTTTGCAACTTGTCAAATCACTACAATATCACCTTTTTCTCCTATGTGGCTTTGTTGGGTGGAAAAAAAGTACTACTACGATGTTTTGACCTGATGAAAGCATGTTGACCCCTCACACTGTATTCTAGAACAGAAGAACGACTTTTATACTTTCACAACTTCTGAAGACGTGCTATAAATATAAAGCTTGGGTACACATGGTCTTCCAAATAAGTGGTCTCAAACATAAACAAGTTACATTATTGACAAAATGGTTAAAGTACAACAAAGTCAAGATGCAAGTAAAATGGTGTACAAACTTGACTTGGTTACACGAGGTTTGGTCTAAATATAGACAGACATTGGATCTAATCATACAGTTCAAAGGCAATTCTACCCAATGCTAAGAAGATGTATGTAAAATGTTGAACTTGAATGAAGTTAAAATAACTTTTTTAAAATTCTCATTATCCTGGCTATAAGCTGCCATAAAATTAACTGACCTAAAACAGGAGAAGCGTAGGCTTAATTTTTAACACATAGTGTATATATTTGGTTTCATTTGTGACTGTGCTCTAGAAAGTTTATTTCATAATTCAACCAACTGAAATAAAGCTGTTCTAGGGACCAGTAGATATTTTAACTTCAATTTTGTGGCTCTCTAAGAATATCAACACGGTGGGTGAGACTTTTGAGAGAGTGACCTCCTTTTTTTTTTTTTATCGGCTTCACACTGTTACCCTGTGATCCTGAATTTACCATCTCGCTGCTGGCAAGAGTTTCATTTGGCAGCAATTTTGCATTCAGCAAAAGCGCACATCCGTCTAAATATAGTCGGCACCCATTTACATTCTGATCCTGCGGCGCATTTATTTTTATTTTCAGCTGCACGAGTTGTGGCATACTGCCTCCTCCTGTAATTAATTGCATCTAATGATTGAAGAATTCACGATGGTGAGATGGAAAGGAAGAGTAAGATGAGAGACAGAAGTCAACTTGGCTTTAGCCTGCAGCATGTTTCCAGCAGTTCAATTTTGAAATTAGAATGTTGTGCGAAAATGAATAAATATGCTGGTGATTCATTTTTCAAATTTGGGAAGTATATGAAAAAATCTTATTAGGAAAAAAAACCCAGAATATTAAATCATTTTCATGGAATGCGATTTCACTGAAGGTCTCATCATTCTGAAATTATATTGTTAGAAATGCATTTTGTGATGCTATGGAGATAAAATGGGACTCTTTACTCTATTAATGTAGGGTTAATTAAACTCTGGCAGCCGTTTAGTTCGTTTATGGATCTGTTCGCTCCATAAACGAACAGATCAACGAACAGAGTAGCGGACTGCTTACTTGAAGTCAGTGGTTCAGTTGGCGCAGATGGCCTCGCCCCTTGCCCTGGATTCGAATCCCAGCCTTTCTGCACAGAGTTTGCATGTTTTCCCTGAGTTGGGTGGGTTCTCTCCAGGTACTCGCATATTCCAAAATATTGAAAACTGAAAACTATCTGTAGAATTTCTTTCTTTTGCTATTTTTTGTGTATTTTTATTTTATATGAAGACTCTTTGATGCTGATTGGCTGTATCCTTGAGATCGAAGAGACTGGAGATGGTAGCTATGTGTATGAAAACATGTTTAAGTATATCTGTTGATGGAACGATTAAAGTAGGTAGTTATAAGTGTTTCTAAGGGGAGTCTCAAGTATTCACAAATTTGACCTATTTGCAGACTGTTGTGGCCTTAACCTCTGAATACCTGGGATCCACTTTAGCCAATATTGCAAAATAATCATTTGTACTCTTTGAATTTGTGACCCATAGCAACTATTTATAAATTTCACTCTTTCCTAAATGCATAAATAAGATATATTTTCCACTAAGAGATATAACGCGTCTCTTGCCAAATTCTGGTTTTAGTTTTAGCTTTTGTGCAAATATTTAAGCAGTTCCAAAAGTACACATCACTAAGTTATGCAAGTAAACATAGACAGTTTCAAACTGGCAGCCTTGTTTATTACTCAGTCTGTACCCATGAAGTAACTCTTGGTTGCAAAAAGGTTGAGGACCCTCGATGTAAGTTGAATTATTCTGCAGTGAATCTTCTACACTGCTTGCAAAAACAAAACAAAAACAATTCTGTAATGCTGCATGAGATTTCCTATTGACATCCATATTTAAACGTATAGCACTGTCCAAATTGAGCCAATAAGTGTATGGTAGATTATGCTGTTTTCCATAAACAAGTCAAGTATTTGTATTCAAAGTGTCACTTGATGTTACCACAAGTCTCAAAAGCTTTTAAAAATGAAACATTATCAAAGATTCATTTGTTAGCAGGAAGTCTTTGTGTGGTTAGAAATCTTCTCTTGACCAACCATTTTTTATTGCTTTTAATTAGCCAGATAATATCCCAATAAACTATTAAGTTTCACTTTTCAAAGCAAAACTAGGTCAAAATGAAAAGCATAAAAAAACAATTGACAGTGTATGTGTTAGCTAGGTATGAATTTCTGTAGCAACCTCTTCTTTCCTGCCTCGGTTCTTATTAATGGATTTGTGAAGAATATACATGACATTTCATGCGGCGAAATACGTGTGCCTCATCGTTATCAGGATGCGATCTGCTGCTCTGGGATAAACTCGCAACAAATCACAGCTTCCAAATCAAACCGTTGAGAGGGGGGGGGGAAATAATTTGAAATAAATTCTGAGTGAAGCAGGGCGAGTATAAATGATTAGATCTGAGCCCAATGAAACCATAAAACTAACAAATTGCATGTGTCAGATCCTAGCTGGCAGTGGCCAAGGTTGTACTACCAACACACTGAAACGCTTTCGGCCTCGTAATGAAAAATTGTTTGGATGTGGCCGGCCTTGAGTAGCCTTCTGGAATGTGTCCAGGATCTCTGAAATATAATATCAGTGGCACAATGACAATCACTCACTCTGTGTTTAGGCTTCTCTGAGCTGCGATAAACACAGAATAATGATACGCACCGGATCACATGCATCCAAATTCTGTTGCTTAAATTATTCAGAAGACTTCCAGCGTAATCTAAATGGTGAATGCCTTGCAAAAATGTTGGCACCCTCTGAATTTTTTCACATTCGGTACAATACAAAAGCAAACTTCAGTGCATTTCATTGAGATTTTATATGACAGACCAATGCAAA